CTGCCCCCCCCCCCCCCTCCCCGACCACCACCCGGCATCCAATTAAGCACCCGTCCAATTGCATGCAGCAAGACCGAACACAAAGCCACTCGGAAGCTGGCGGTGAGGAAGGGAGCAGGACAAGGTCAGGAGGCCTCCCACCTTCGTTTACCATCTTCGTGCACTTCAGGCCGGCCCTACAAGTGTCGTGAACGCGCGGAATCCCCGCCCGTCGCCTACAACCCAAGCCCCTCCCGCAGAACTGTGCCATGCGCCACCCTCTCACTGCCTCCGCAGCACTGCTGTGCCTCCTGGCAGTGTGCCAGCTCGGTGCGGCAGGTGCGAGGCGGCCCCGAGTGCAGGCTGCCAGGACAGGGCTTGCCGGTGCGGGGCGGGAGCGGCGCAAGGCCGCCCCCCACCTCCAGCTTGCCGCTGCGCAGCTGCCACGCCCACCAAGACCGACCGCCCTTGATGCTGCATCACCCCCTCCGTGCAGCAGCAGGAGCAGGAGCAGCAGAGGAGCTGGGGGGCGGCCACCTGGGCCGGGAGCTGCTGGCCGAAACCGTGCCCACCACGCTCGGCCAGTGCCTGAATGTGCTGGCGGTGGTGCGCACCAACCTGCGCGGCGCTCGCACCCAGCTGACCACCACACAGCAGCGGCTGCGAACCGCGACATCGGAACTTGGCAGCTGGCGGAGCAAGGCCGCAGCGCTGGCGACGCAGCTGGGGTGAGAGGCTGGTGGGTGCCGCATGGGGCAGCGGCAGCATGGGGCCCCACGCCGCGCGTGCTGTCTGGGCCAGGCGCGCATTTGACTGGTAGCCAGCGTCCTGTGCTGCGCGCCTGGCATGCAGGGATGTGGTGCAGGACAAAGAGGCATTCCAGGTGGGGCCACCGCTGTTGCCGCCGCCGCTGCCGCCGCCCATGCAGCTCCTGCTGCTGCCGACCTTTTGCGCAGCCAAACTCCTGCTGCCGCTGAGCCGCCTCGCCTTGCCGCCGTGCCCGCCAAGAAACCTCTCTGACGCCGCCTGGCCCCGCTGCTGCCCCCGCCTGCCTGCCTGCCGCCGCCGCCGCCGCCCTGCCGCAGTCTGTGCTCGACGGCCTGCGGCAGCAGCTGCAGGGCGTGTTGGGGCAGGAGGTGGGGCTGCCGGAGCTGGGCGCGGAGGTGCAGGGCCTGCTGGGGCAGCTGGCGTCGGTGCAGCAGCTGCTGGAGGGCGCCCTCGGGCGGGACGTCGCGCTGCCCGACCTGCAGCAGCGCCTGCAGGAGCTCCTGGGGCAGGTGGCGGGCCTCGAGGAGGCGCTGGGGGAGGCGCTGGGCGAGGAGGTGGAGCTGGAGGGGCCCCCCGAGGCGCTGCAGGGGCTGGTGGACAATCTGGCAAGCATCCAAGGCCTGCTCAGCGCGGCGCTGGGGGAGCCCGTCGGGCTGCAAGACCTGGCGCAGGCGGTGCGCAGCGTGGTGGCGGAGCTGGGGCAGAAGCAGGGCGAGCTGCAGCAGGCGCGGCAGACGGTGGCGGAGCTGCGGGGCAAGGTGCGTGGCGGGGGATGCCCGTAGTGGCGGCGGCGGTGGTGGAAAGAAGGCGTGACCGGCAGGCGGGCGGGAAGGCTCTGGCAGCGGCCAGGGGGGCGCCCCGCCGCGTGCGCGTGCTGCCTCTCCCATCCCACACGCATGGGGGGCTGAAGCGCTGCCGTGCCTGCGCCTGGCGCTGCTGGTGCAGGTGCAGGGGGCCATGGCTTGCGCCCTCAACTTCGCCTGCATGTTCAGCACGAGCTGCCTGAAGAGCTGCATGGGCAGCCTGTCCAGCCCCTGATGCCCGCTGGCGAGAGAGTTGTGGTCCACCCACTTGGCGTGTTTCTGCCACCGCTGCCATTTTTGAGTGCTGGAGCTTTGCTGCTGTTTCATTCATTGTGATTGCCTTTTAATGTTTTTTTTCTCTCCCAACAATGGAACAATACCTGTATGTACCCTTCCTCTCTATCTATCTGCTGGCCTCTTCAACACGTGTTATGCCCTGCCGCTGCTGTTCAGCCTGCCTTTTTGTTTGCTGGCTACTATCACAGAGTGGGCCACCCAGGGCGGGTGCAAAACACAAATTGAGAATGGCAATTGGGGTGGAGTTCAAGGAATGAAATGCGAGGGCAGCGCTGCAGAGGAGGGGCAACGGTGCATGGAAGGGACAAGCAGAGAAGAGCGGAATGTGGCGTTGCATGATTCATTAAATTGGGGGAAGGCTCTATTCAGGTATGGAGTGCAGGCAGGGTGGTCTCGTGTGCAAGTGCGGCAGGCGAGGCGAGGGCATGCGTGCGGCGGTGCGCCGAGCTGCTCGGCGGCCGCAGCAAAGTGCGGGCAACTGGAGGGTGCAGCGGGTGGAGTAATGTACAAGTGCTGGGCTGGATGATGCAGCATCGCGCCAGCGCCCCGGGCTGGCTGCTCAATCGGGCTGGCTGATCCGAGCTGCCCGTGCTGGCAGCCTGGGGAGGCTGGCTGGCTGGCTGGCTGGCAGCCGCCCTACAGGCCCAGGCTGTTTCCCTCCACCACGGGGAGCTTCAGCACCTTGATGAGCAGGATGATGAGCCAGCCAAAGGCCACACAGGCGACATACCCTTCGAGGGAGTCCTCAAAAAGGATGTCCAGCAGGCCGCCCACGCCTGCACCAGCGGCGGCGGCGTGAGCAGCGGCAGCGGCAGCGGCAGCGGCAGCGTGAGGTTCCTGTGGCACGCAGCCAGCTTCCGTGCGCGGTCTTGGTGGCTGCGGAGGCTGGGGCGGGGGTGCGGCGTGCGCCCCACAACATGCCACGCGCTCTCCACGCCACGGAAGCGAGCAAGCACAGGCACAGCAGGGGCGCCCCACTCACCGCGCCAGTATGCGATGACCGCGGTGATGGCCTGCAGCGCAGGCGTGATGCAGCGGGTGTGGCCGGGTTGGGCAGCCACACGGCGGCAGCTGGGCGCCGCTCCCGGCCCGCTCATGCCCCGCGGGGCCGCCTGTACTGCAACGTTTTCCGGCAGCTGCCCTCAAGCTGCAAGGCGTGCTTACCATGACAGTGTTGACGTTGGCCGTCACATCAAATTTCATGGATCCGTCGTGCAGCGCCGCATCCACAGCCTGCAGCGCGCAAGGAAGCAGCGTGGCGTGTGTCAGACGCGAGCGCCTGAGCCATGCCGGGCGGCACGCGCCGCTGCCTGCACCGGCTGCGCCGGATCCAGCTGCCAGCCTGGCCAGGAGCGGCAGGCGCACGCGCCGGCTGCGCCCTGGGACTGCCACCGCCCAGGCACACTGGCGGCGCTGCTCACAGCAGTTCACACCGGCACACCCCACGCCAGCAGCAAGCAACTCACGTCTTTCACGGTCTGCTTGGTGGCCACCATTTCCTGCTCAAAGGCGGTATGTACTGCCTGCAGCTCTGACTCGAACGCCGTGTGTACTTCCTCCTCCACCACTCTGTGGATCGCCTGGCTCAGCGCGCGGTCGCCCGCAACGTCGCCGCCGCCGCCGCTGCCGCCGCTAGCGCCGCCGTTGCCCAGGCCCGCCTGCCGCAGCCGCTCCACCGCGCGCTGCACAGCCAGGTCTAGCTGCGTCTGGTCCAGGCTGATGCTGGCGGCGGCCAGGGCGTCCTGCTCCAACAGGCCGCCGCCGTCGCTACTGGCGGCGGCAGCGACCAGGGCATGGTGGCGGCGGCGCGGCGCCAGTGCCGCCGTTGCACCACACCGCTGCGCTGGCCGCCTGCTCAACACCATCGTCTGCTCTCTGCAAGCGCCATGCGAGTGGGTCTGTGGCTGGCGCGCAGCCAAAAGTGGGGGAGACATGTTGTGCCGTTTGTGGAGCTTGCGCTCAGGGCTGGGAAACGCGCTGATCGGGATGACACGATTCAATCGTTAGGGTGGCAGCGTTACCATGGCAATCCTGTGGTGCTGCTGGGGTCTGGCGGCCTTCGTATGCCACGTCGGCGGCCTCAAAACTCCTCCCTGCCGATTGCCGCTGGGACGACCCTAAACAGCCTATACACGATTCGCAGGTTGCTGGCAGCACCCGCTGAGCCGCGGGCTGGGCAAGGTGGCAGCCGATGCAAGGCTCCCGCCCAGCGGTGTGAGAAGTTGGCGCCGGCTGTTGCATGCATCAACAGATTTGCTCAGCACTGTACACACTTGGCAGAATGCAAAAGGCATTGGTTGGGTGCAGGCGTTGCAGCATCCGGAGCGCCTCATCTAGCGCTTGCCGAAGCCGTAGCCGCCATAGTACTTCTTGCCCAGCAGCGCGGGGTCGCGCCCCGCCGCCACCGCCATCACGCGCTGCTGCCGCTGCCGCTCGCCCTCCTCGCGCTGCAGCCGCTCCAGCCGCAGCTGCTCCACGCTCTTCTTCCCTCCCTTGTCCTTGCTTTCCTTCCTCTCTCGCCGCCGCCCCTTGCCCTTGCCTTCCTTGGACTTCTTGCCGTGCCGCCGGCTGCCGCCGCCGTCCTTGCGCCGCCGCCGGTGCTTGCTGCCGCGCCGGCGGCGACTGCGCTCGTCGCTGCTATCGCCGCTGCTGCTCCCGCTACTGCTGCTGCTGCTGCTGCTCGAGTCGCTGCCCGAGCTGCTGCTGCTGCTGCTGGTGCCCTCGCCGCCGGCCCCGCCGCCGCCCCCACGCTGCTGCAGCACCATCACTCCCGCCAGCAGCGCCGGCTGCTGCTGCTGTTGCTGCTGCTGCTGCTTGGTGCCTCCCACCCCCGCCAAGGCTGCCCGCGCCTGCATCTCCCACCGCCACATCTGCCGCCTGCTGCCGTGCTGCGGCTGGGCCGCAGGCCCGCCCTCGCCCTCCTCACTCGGCAGCGTGCTGCCGCGCTTGGCATACCTGGCACGCGCGGGAGCAGGGCCCAGGCAGGAGGGGCGGCCAGTGAGCAGGCAGCGGCACACAGGTGGCACGACGGAGTGCGCAGCCCGCTGCCACGAGGCAAAAGCCAGGCGGCCGGATATCGGCTGGCTGGCGCCAGCTGCCCAAAACACGGCAACGCCCACACAGCGGATCCCACCTCCCTACACCCCAACACACAGTGCAACAATTAAAACCACCACCTCCGCCACCACCGGCGCCATCTGGGCGCCCGCACGTGTGCCAGCGCTCACCAGGGCAGCGCCTGCTGGCCGTACAGCTTGTGGGCGAACGAGAACTGCTCGTCGAAGCGGGCGTCGCTGGTCTGGGTGTCCGGGTCGCCGCGCCGCCGCCGCTCGTCGCGCTTCTCGGCCTGCGGGGCAGGGGGCGGGCAGCCGGGGCGCGATGTGTGTGGGGTAGGGGGATGCGGGGTGGGGGATGTGGAGAGAAATGGGGAGGGGTCGGGGAGCCTGCCACGTGCCCCCCCCCCCCCA